TACAAGCGTTATCATACTGCATTCTGGTGTGTTCCACCAGGCTGTGAGGCCAGACGGGGCACTAAAGGAATACTAGGCAAACAAAGAAATAGACAAATGACTAAATGAAGGAGATGGTGCTTCACATAAGCATGATCACAAAAAGTGAGAACTTTTGGTCAAATACCAAAAGATTGAAAATATGTATATCTCACCTCTTTTCTCAAATGCCATTTGAGAAGCTTTATGAAGAAATTTTAAAAAGCTGTGAATTCCCAAGGACAAAGCAAGAGACTTCAACATTTGTTGTGAAGGTGCAACAGAGAGAGGGAAACCTGGCCCCTGGGAGCCAAGAAAGCTGGAGGAGGTGTCAGCTCCCTCTGTAGGCAGCGGCAGGTGGGCAGAGAGGGCAGCAGATCTGGGTCAGGAGCAGCCAGAGCCCCCTCTCCTCCCAGCACCCTTTGTAGGAGAGGAGAAGTTCATTCCCTGGAGAAATGGACCAGACTGCTGATTTCCAGAGCACCCGGCCCAGCACACACTGGAATCAAGGTAAGAGAAGTGTGTTTCCATCCTGCGTCCCAGGGACCCCGTTCCACTTTGTTCTGAGCAGCCCAGTTGCCACCTTCCCAGTGGGAGACTGGAGGATTATTCTCTGTGAACAGTCGTTGGTACAAGAGAAAAGACCTATAGCTGCCAGAACTTGGATTCCCAACAAAACAAGTGAGTCTTGGGCCTGGTTACAATGTAGAGAAGCCCAGGAGGATTCATGTATTAGGGTTCACTAGAGGAACAGATTTAGTATCAAATGGATGCATGATCATACCAAGGGTTGTGAGGTAGACTTACAAGATCTGAAGCAGAAGAGTTCAAGTGGTCGTCCACCGCATCAGAGGCGGAAGAATGCAAAATGTTCATCTCAGCCACCAGAGGACTGGAGGATCCATTCAAAAGTCAAAGCCTGGGAGGCTCACTGCAGACTCCATTGTGAGTCTGTGTCCGAAAGCTGAAGATCAGTGTTGCAGGGCCGAACAATGTGCACTGGAAGGAATCTATCCTGAAGGAACTGGACACAGTGTCTAAAGACAGGGGACAAAGGTCAAAGCTCGTGGAAGGAAAAAGGGCAGACTTCCTCCTTTCCTTTTTGATTCTTTCCAGGCTATGAGCCTATCCACTGGTGCTCCCCACACCCTGGGCGGGGTGCTGCTCTCCCTGTGCAGCCTAGACCTCAGTGACCCACAGATACCTTAGAGTTCTACTAATCTCTGAGTGGTTCTTACTGCAGTCAACAATAAGCAGTCCCCACCCACATCCTGTTCCCTACTCACCCGGCGTCACTGGAATGGGGAAGAAAATCAATAGTAAATATATAAGCAAAACAAACAGCTTTGTGCTCAGCTGTGAGGGAAAATACTCAGAATTTGCTTTCTTTAAAACAACCACCATCCTGTTGCAGCATAAGAGAACAAGTAAAATTATGTTTTATGTGTTAGGGTTCTGTGCTGAGTTTTGAAAACAGTACTTTTTGTGGAAAAAAAATCTTACATCAACCTTGAACCATTTACAACACTGTGAGTTTATGATGAATACAATTATCTAAAGACAATTTCATGGATTTAGTAACTAATTTAAGAGTGAGGGATTTTACTATGTGTTTCTTATATTAAAAACAATTTTTAATGCAAATGAAGTTTCTCACTTATTCTTTGGGTGCCAGGAGTTTCTAAAATGTGTTTTGAAAACATAGCATACAGCGAAGTTTAATCTAATTTAAGATTTTAAAAGTTTTAATTAGCAAAGCATTTTACTAGAAAAGAAAGCCCCTACTATTTTTCCTTAGAGGAGACACTAATACATCTTTTTTTTCCCTAAGAATATTTTCTAAAGAAAGATGTTTTATAGTCTGTTGGATTTTGTTTTAATTTTTGGCTTAGCGTTCCGGGAGAACATGGCGGACAGATAACAGCTACTACGGAGGCTCTCTGAAAGGCTTGGTTCAGAAGTCAGGAAGGGTGCGGAGTAAGGAGACATAAGCAAGTGGAGATATGCTCTGCTGACTCAGGAACGAACTGGGCTGAGAGAAACCAACTTGGAATGCAGTCTTAGCGCTAAAACAGGAACAGAAAAGCCTCGGTGTGGAGGCTGGACCCCGCGCCATTGGAAGCCGCGATCTTGGTTTCCCGCCGCGCGGCGACTGCCTCTACATCAGCTCGGCAAGGAGAGAGACACGCGGAAGCTCTGAGAACGGCAATCTGCGAACGGAGTCGAAAACAGGACGGGCAGGGAGGCGTGCACTGACTTGTGGTGAGGTGAGTGAGAGAAACTGACACTCTACCACAGTTTGACTCCAGCGGAGGACTTTCTGGGCCCGGGCAGTCCTGCAGGAGCAGGGCGCAGTGACGACTCCAGCCACACATCCCCCTCTTGGGCAGGATTGGTGAAAAGTGCCTGGCCTGCGTGATGCTGCTGGCAGACCTGGTAGGCTGGCCCAACCAGCCTAGATCCCAGAGCCTGACGGTGGCCGGGAGGGGCAACGTGTAGGCTGCCTGGTCCGTAACTCCCTGGTGCGCTGCGGTGGGCGGGATCACCTAACTGGCGCAATTCGATCAGGCTGTGGCTGACAGGGAGAGAAGCTGGGCCTCCTATGTAAGCTTGCATATATAAGGAACAGAGAATATGGGAAGAGGCAGCAACAAGAAAGGCTCCTCGGCCCCCAGTTCTGAGAAACAGGCAATAGCGGACACCGCACCAATAGACATAAAGCGCCATATAGAGAGCCTCATAGATCAATTCAGGAATGAAGTTATCAATGACCTGAAGCTAGAAGTATGCAGAATAGTTAGAGAAATGCTAAGCACCACCCAAGAAAAAACAGATGGTGGAATGGAAGAACAGAAAAAGAGGGGAGAATTGTTTGATGGAGAAAACAGAGAAAGCATAGAATACGTGAAGCAGGTTCAAAGGGACTACCAAGAAACTAAGAAGTCTATCGAAGACTGGCATAACAGCTTGAAAGAAACTAAGGACAGACTATCTGAACTGGAGGGCAGACTTGTAATATGGGAGAATGAAATGAAAAACTTCTTAAAAATAACAAAGAAACAAACAGCAATAATATAAAGACAAGAAGATGATAAGAGGATCCATAACTTAAGGATTAAGAACATAAAAGAAGAAGTAGGGACACAAACAAGTGAACTACAAAAGCTACTCACAGAAATAATCCAGGAGAATTTTCCTAATTTAGCAAAAGGTAAAGATACTCAGATGTATGAGGCATACAGGACCCCAGCTACCTACAACCCAAACAGAGCAACACCCAGGCATATAATAATAAAAATTCCAGAAATTCAATACAAGAACAGAATATTAAAAGCTGTCAGAGACAAGAAACAGACCACTTACAAGGGAACACCCATCAGAATTACAGCAGATTTCTCTGCACAAACCATCAAATCACGAAGAGCGTGGGGGGAAATAATTCAAGCTTTGAAAGATAATAATCTCCAGCCAAGATTGAGATATCCTGCACAACTGTCCCTGGAAATTGATGGAAAAACAAGGTGCTTCCAGGATAAAGAGGAACTGGGGGAATTTGCAACCACCAATTCAACTCTACAGAGAGTATTGCAGGATATTCTAAAAAAAGAAAAATACAAAGAATCCAGTAATAGTGGCGGGGAGGCCACAACGAATGGAGCAGAGAACAAAATGAAGAAGACAAACTGACAGCTACTGACAGAAAAAGAGCTCAACAGAAATGAGGCAGAGAAGATTGGATGATAGGAACAGCTATTTTGGAGAAAATGACATCTTAATAGGTAATACTGATTTAGTATCATCTTGTTTTGAAGTCTCATCTAGCTTTTGTTCTTCTGTCTCCAATGGTCTAAATAGGTTGTATCTTATTGGATTTTATTATGTGCGATAGTATAAGCAAAAACCTTTTAAAGACAAGGAGATTATACAGAAACCATTGTTCATTTTCTGTTAGTCGATTCTAAATACTCTGTAATGCTGTCATTCTCTTAAATGGTTTCACATTGTTTTGATATACTTAATGCTACAGTATACAAAGTTGTACTCAAGGATTTCAAGGAAAGAGACAATATGGTAACTACTTTTGGGTCGGGATTATCTGGTGGTGAAACACTATTCTGCTTAAATGGTTATGTTTTGATCTGCGCTATTTCGCTGTTATGCCCTCTTTTATCTCAATCTCCACTCCATTATTTACTTTTTTATTTTTATCCATTTAATTAAAGGAAAAAAATAGCAGGATATATTATAGTAACCCACTTTGACTTTCCATTATCTCGATTTGAAGCCCTGTATTACTCTCACCATCTTGTTTTTGACTGATGTTCCCCTATTCTGTTTTGCTGGATAGTATCAGGTTCAAAAGTTTAGGCATCAGCTGTGAAGATAATGAGATTCATTATAATGCCCATTCTTGTTGACTTTTATCTACTTTTGAAGACCTACTATGTCTCCAATGTTTTGGTTTTGTCAGTTTTGTTCTTTACTGTTTTGTTCAATTGTATTATAACTAATGATATAGGCAATTCTATTAGAGATAACGGGAGGCATTATGGTATCCATTGTTGATCACCTTGTATTATGTTTTTACATTATCTATTATGTCCACCCTTTTGACTTGACCGATTCTGTTCTGTTATGTCACATCTGGTTTTACTCTCTTCCAAAAAAGTAATAAGAACCGTGGGAGCAATGAAACCCAAAATGTGTAATAGTCATTGTACAAAAGAGAGGAAAAGAAAGTGCTCTAAACTATATAACTGCATGTATATTTAAGTGTATAAGATAGAAAATGATATCACAGAGTTTTATTGGATCAATGAACAGAACTGTTTGCAGTATCATTGTTGGAATGTCCACTTTACAAGCTTTAATTTTGTGACTTGAACAATTATTTCTAAGATGGCAATATGTAATCCATTAACTAGTGATTTCCTACTGTTTATTTTTTTTTTCTGTAAATCTGTATAACTTGTACCCTTTCTCTGCTTTTTTTTTCTTTTCTCCTTAAATAAACTTAAAAAAAATAATTTTTGGCTTAGGTAATTTTTTTACTTATTTATTATTTTTTTTATTTTAAAGAGAATAAAACAATAAAGCAAAACAAAACAATGAGAGCAACATAGAACTCAAAAGCAAGACAAATAGGAAATCCACCTTAATTACTATAATGTACATTGTTATTCTCTAAATAGTTGCTCAGACCACCAGACTTAGGCATGCAAAGTCAATCAGATGATACAAGGACTAAAGTTTTTCTTTACTTTGATTGCCATCATTTCAGAAATTTCAAGTGTGTGCCTTCTAATTTCATTTGTGTCTGTGTCTCCTGGACTTGTTCCGGGTGAGCTGAGGTCTGAGATTGCACTTTGCTCCCTCATCTTGACGTTTGCCTGTGTTCCTCTGATTCAGTTGGTGGCGGAGTCCTGGTGCTTCCTGCACTGGCTGCCTGTCCTGTGGTGCAGAGGACCATGTCAGGGACCTGGCATCCTGCAATCTGAAGCTCCTGGGGTAGCAGAGAGGTGCGGGACAGCAGCCCACCAACACTCCCCTGATGGTGTCGGGGCTCCAGGGCATGGCCCGTTTCCCTCTGGACCTGTGGTGGCAGGCCCACTAGGGGGTGCCCAGCCCTGGTGGCAGCAGGGCCTTGGGGTGAGAGGCTCTTTACCTGCTCCTCACCACTCCACTTGGGTTAGGTATTTTTTTTTTATTCATACCACATAACCCTTCGTGTTGAAGACTAAAGGAGAGAGATTAAAAAACAAAAAAGTACAATTCAGAAAACAAGATAGTATAAGGTGGAAAAGAAAACCTTAAAATAATTATAATTGAGGCAGCAGAGTTGGGCCTGATAGTTCCTAAGCAATACTTACTATTGTTGTTCTTATTTTGAGACAGAGTTTTACTGTGCAGTTAAAGCTGTTCTTAAACTCACTTCGTAGCCCAGGCTGGCCTCAAACTCACAGCAATTCTCTTGCCTCGCCCTTTTGAATGTGGGATTACAGGCATGTGCAACCTTGCTTAGCACAGATGCATAGTATTTTTCTTCTTTGTATCTTTGACAGCTGTGTCTATCTCAGACACACTGTGACCACTGCAGAGAACTTTCACTGTGGCTATGGAAGCTTCAAATTGGGGATCTGCCTGCAACTTGTCTGGATAACTTGCACCCTTCTGCAGCCACTTCTGATGTCCCCACACCAGTCCACTAGGAGCCTGTCCTTGACTAAGCAGAAATTCTGCAGTTAGCCAGCAGCACATTCTGCACATGCATGATCCTGCTTTCCAATGTGTGTATAAGCAGCCTTCCTTTCAGCCTTATGAGATCAGCCTATGTCCAGCTCCCCTTTATGCTGCAGCATAAGATCTAATAAAATATCTCTCAGATGTTTTTAATTTTGCCTGCTCATAATTTCCATCACAAATAAATCCGGTTAAGCTGGTTGTGTTAAGAGATGGTAACACAGAAGGCTGCTGGCTACGCGAAGGTGGCTAGCACCCATGGTACGTCTGAGCATTGTCTGTGAGCTGCTAGCTCTGGCTGCTGGAAGGCTGCTGGTTTGCCTTCCAGGAGAGCAGCAAAGAGAGCTGCTAACACTCGGAGCTGAGAGCCACGAGCACTCAAGGCTCAGCACTGCTGACCCAAAGTCTTGAGGATTCACATTCAAAACTCAGAGCTGCTGGCAACAAGAGAGCTGTACTTTGCTTATTTGTGATTTCTATCTGAACTGAGTACAGCCCTTAGCTGACTGTTAACTTAGTGATCCTTAGGCAGATCAGGATCCACTTAAAAAAAGATAATAGTAATTTTTAAAAAAGGAAATGTGTACACCAAGCATGGTGGCATATACCTATAATCCTAGCATTTGAGGCAGGAGGATCACTGTGAGTTGAAGGCCAGTTTGGGTTACAAAGTAAGTTCAAAGCCAACCTGCACTACGTGGTGAAAACTTGTCGCAATTGAAAAAAAAAAAGCCTAGAGAATAAGAAATAGCTCTTAGAAATTAAAAATACAATACTCAAAATAAACCCAATAGAGGATCTGGAATACAAACAGGGAAATGTCCCAGGAAGAAGAACAAAAAGGAAGAGTTATGGAAAATAAGAAACTCCAAATATCACACTGAAAAATTCCAGGAGTAAAGAAATACACAAAAAATTTTCAGCCATGCACAATGGCACATGCCTATAATTCCAACTCCCTAAGAGGCTGAGGCAGGAGGATTATAAATTCGATGTCAGCTTGAGAATTTAGTGAGACTCTGTCTCAAAATAAAATACAAGGACTGGGCTTATAGATCTGTGATAGCACAATGCTGGGTTCCGTCCCTAGTACAATATACACACACCCTTGTGCACACATGCACACACAATTTTAACAATGAGGCCATAAATTGCCAATTTAAAGATATCCATGGACTACACAGCAAGAAGGGTGAGAAAAGACCTAAGCCAAAGTACTTAGTTTTGAGTGGTCAGAACGTTAATAAAGAGATGACCCTCACCACTTGTTAAGTTAAGCAGGGAATCGCACACAGTGACCAGCCAAGAGGATGAGCTGAGACTTCTCGCCAGCAGCACTGGGATGGCAGGACAGAGGAGCGGCACCTTCAGTGTGTGAGGGAAGAGCCTTCCGTCTGGTGTTCTGTTCCCAGCCAAGCGTGGACTCCGTGAGGACAACGAGCCATGTCTTCACCCGGTAAGACTTTCAAACAGTTTACTCTCATGCACCCTGTTCTCAGGACCCACTAATGCAAGAAGCCTTCCAAGATGAAGGGCAAACTGAAAGAGAGAAAGATAGGGGAGAAAAGAAAGTCAGGAGATGGGCAGAACTGTCTAGAATGGGGTTGAGAGAAGCCCAGTGCCGCTCGGAGCCATGAAGTCCAGATAAAAGCAGGAGGCCGGGGCTTGGGAGTGAGGGGCCCCTCAGAGCAAAACCAAAAATGGCCCATTTCCCAGCGACAGGTCGTATCAGGGCAGGTGGAGAAAAGCAAACGATAGGTACATGAGGTATAAAGCAAACCAAAGAAGGCCATCCTTACTGGGCAGGTGGGACAGGCACGGGGCTCAGAACAAGACAGGAAATGTCACTGGGCATCTCAGAAGTCAGCTGGCGTAGCACTTGCCTGATAATATGAACACTGTTGATTTTTCATTTTTTATTGGAATTATTATAGTAGGTATGTTATAGCTGTATATAAAGTATTTATTGGGTGCAGTGTGATATTTTGATAGAATGTATTTATGCATTCATTTAGTTTCGGTTTTTTGGGACAGAGTCTTACTGTGTAGCCCAGGCTGGCCTTGAACTCTCAGTGTTCCTCCTGCCTCAGCTTCCCAAGGGCTGGGATTACAGACATGCACCATCCCACCCATCACTGTATTTTTATGGAAAATCTTTTAATTTATGTGTAGTACTTGTTCTTATTTATGGTCTACAATGTTATAGTTTGATACATGTATATAATGTATAATAAACAAATCAGGGTAATTAGCATCTCCATCTCCTTAGATGTCATTTGAGTGAACTGGGAACTTTAAACCTCTTCTCTAGTTATTTTGAAATGTCTAATAAATCTCACCGACTATAGCTGCCCCATTGTGCTCTATAACACACATAGTGTGCTCTATAACACACATCGCTATAGAAACCTGTTCCCCTCTTCTCTGTTCCGGTGCACATCATCCAGCCTCTCTGTGCTGCACAATTTCACACGTGGTGGGAGAGTAGACGTGTGCACACGGCAGGGAGGTGTGTGGAGGAGGTAAACCTTCATCCTTTGTGATGGAAGTCGAGAAAGAATGTCTAACATGAAAAATAAATCAAGATTAATAGCATTTTAAATATGAAGGTTAAATTTTCAAATCAGCTAAAGGAGCCCGGAGGGAAAAAAGGAGCCCGGCCTTAGGAATGGGGCTGAGAGGTGGATGAGAGTGACAGAGGACTAGGTACTGTTTTTGTTCTAGACCTGCAGTCATATTCAGCTTTGGAAATGATGCACACCTGTATTATGATGCTATAAACAAAAATCCTTCACAAACAATCCTTTAACACTCTGCCCCCTTGCCAAGCATGGTATTGTATGACTATAATGCCAGCATTCTGGAGGCTGAGGCAGGAGGGTCACTGTGAGCCTGGGCTGCATTGTGAATTCAAGGTCAGCCTGAACTACATAATGAGACCTGGTCTCTAAAAACAAAACAAAAATCAAAACAAAACAAAACCAACCAAAGGAAAAAAAAACTCTCACCCTTTAATTTTATTTTTAGCTCCAACAAACCCTCTGCAAGCAGTCATTCATCAGGCAAGCATTGAAGCCTCAAGTGCCCCAAAGCCCCCAGATTTCCTGCAAGCAGTCCCCACAGTCCCTCCTTGAAGACACAAAGCCAAGCCATAGCTCCCTTGTGGGTCGGGCCCTGTGCTTATCCCCCAGTCTTGCGTCTAAGCCACTGAGCTCCTGCCACATGCAGTTCTTTACTAAATCAAAGCAGCCGACCTTAAATCTCCTGCCTGATAACCCCCCTCCTCCATCCAAGCAGACGGAGTTTACAGGAAGATTCATTAGACTGCGGGAACCTACAAAGGGGGAAACATGCCCACACCTCAGCCCACAAGGCATCAGCGATTGCTTCTCTCCTCTAGAGACAGCGGAATAGATGGGCTACCCTGGGAGACCTGGCAGATGGGAAACACATTACAGATGTGAGCTTCAGAGAGAGGGACGCTTGGAGACTTGTGCGTTTCAGGAGTTTGGGGGTATTCGGTGTTGCCTGGAAACCAGAGACCAAATAGGAAACAGGAAGCCCCAGGAGAAAAGCGAGGCTGAAGTATTTGAGCATTATTTCCAGAGGTGAAGGCTGCCTGCCAAGGCCTGAGGGCAACTCTGGTCCTTATTTTCTCCTCCAGCCTCAGATCATCAGAATTCCTCCTGCCAATTCCACACCCCTCCATCTCACTACGCAGCTCTTAGAGGGAGAGGCAGGCTGCTAGTGGCTATCAGAGCTCCTCACACACACACACACACACACTCAAGGCTGTGAAGCCATTTTCCAGCATCGATTTCTAACAGAAATACCGTCTCACACCTCCAGCTTTCCTGCAGCTGCAGCGGCTGCCTGTGCAGGGCACTGGCTTACAGCTTCCATCTGTGTGACCCTGGGTGATCTGCCCCAGGCCCTGCAGCTGGAGCTGGGTGTGACCAAGGTCGGAGAATTCCCAGGGTACAAGGGAATCTCCCAAGCACAAACCCCAAGTGACCTCCCTACCTTGCCGCCCTCCCGGGACCCTTCTCCTGTCCTTCTGTGCTGCAGACACAGCCCCGGCCAAATGAGTCCCTGTCCATGTGCCATGCTGGGTCTCTGTCCCTTGTACTCTGTCTGTCCGCTGCCTCTGTCACTTCAAACCCATGTGTAACTCCTTTCCCTTCCCATCTGAAAACTTTTTGCAGACTCCAGTTTTATTTTATTTACTTATGTTTATGGCTCCTCCACACCCTGTAAATCTTTGAAATTCTCACTTGGCGCCAGCACCTGTGCCCTTGGAAACGGGGTGGGGTGACAGGAAGCTCAGGGTTAAGCAGATGTGGCTTCCTGTCAGTGATGGGCTGGGGCAGCCTGGCCCCTCTCAGCCTCGGCTTCTTCCTCTCGGAAAATCCTTTCCTCTCAGTGGATCAAGAGTCTCAAATATCCAGGTCTTTCCAACACATCTCCAGAGGAGAGTACGGGGTATCCCAAGCATCTGAACAGACGCTCAACATTACTTATCATTAGAAAATGAAAACTAAAACCTCGGGGAGATGCCTTCATATCTGCAAGGATGGATACAATAATAAAAAATAAAAATAAAAATAAGTTTGAGGACATGGAGAAACTGGAGCCCTTGTCTAGTGCTGGCAGTGGTGTTAAAATGGTGCAGTAGCTGTGGGAAACGGTTTGGTGACTCATTAAAAAGTTAAACATAGAATTCCCATATGATCCAGCAGTCCGCTCCTAGGTATGTATCCCAAAGAATGAAAAGCAGGCGTTCAATCAAAAACTTGCGCATGATTGCCCAAAGCAGCAGTATTTACAATAACCACGAAGTAAAAACACCCCAAATGCCCATCAGCTGATAAATGGCTAGACAAAATGTATTCTGCCCGTCCAGTGGAATATTACTCAGCGATAAGAAAGAATAAAGTATGGATAAGCTTATGCTAAGTGAAAAACTCAGAAACATATTGTATGATCCCACTTACATATTACATACTGCTTCATATTGTATGATCCCACTTACATTAACTATCTAGACTAGGTAAATCCAAAGAAACAGAAAGTGGTTCCCAGGGACAAGATGAGAGAAGGGAGACTGCTTTTATGTGTATAGGGTTGATTTCCTTTGGGATAGTGACAGTATTTTGGGTCTGAAGAGAGGTGATGGATGTAAGCAGGGCAGCCATGGTGGCTCTCGGCTCCTGGGTCATAGGTAGGAGCTGCCAGGGCTTCTTAGGTCTAGACCTGCACAGAATCACTTCTGCCACATCCATTTGGTCAAGGAAAGCCACAGGACCAGTCCAGATTCAGGGGAGGGACAGCACAAGAGCAGGGACTGCAGAGATGTGGGTCTTTGGGGCCACATTTGCAGACCAGCTGCCACACACAGTGCTCATTTCCAGAACTGAGGTTTACTCATGTGTGGCACCCAAGCCGCTCCTCTTCTTGGGTCCCTTATTTTGAGGTGATAACATCTAGTTCCTGAACAGTGGTCCAGTCATTCCTGCCACTCCCCCCCCTTCCCCTCCCCTACCAGGTAGTCACTGGAAGTCCTTGTGTCCTGCAGCCCAAGTATTTCCGCTCTTCCCCAGCCCTGGTCTTCCTCAAGGCCAGCATTGTTCCGTGCATAGGCTGATGCAAGAACCCCTCTCACCACCCAGTTTCCTAGAGTGGCCCCTGCAGCCCACCACACACTCTCAGCAGAGTGACCAAGTAAGTAATGGGTTGGTCCCTCCAGGGTAGAGTCGCTGCCCGGCTTCCGGAGCCTTTGACGGTGTCCACACCAAGCTCCTGAGTGTGACACCCAGGTCAGTGCCTCCTTTCACGGTGGTGCCAGCCGCCTCCTCCAAAGGGCTCAGCTCTATTTGCTCTGTAACACTCACTGCTCTTATCCCCCTGCTCCCCCTCAGCCAGAGCTCTCCTCTCCCTGGGTTCAGCCTCTGTTGTGTATTTGTCAAACTTGTAGTTATTTTCAAGTCTTCTCTCTAACTTAGGTCAAACTTTCATGGAGTTACTGATACTTGAATATTTTTAGATCTAAAAAACAGCCATTTCGTGTGGCTCCACACAATGGGTTACAAGTAACTGTATCCTGGTGTCCTCAGCATCTGGCACTGCTCTTAATTAGTCAGTCACATGCACCCTGGCTTTTGGAAAGGGTTTTGGAAAATCTAGAAAAGGCAGGCATGATCCCAGGGACATGGAGCAGAAACCTGATGCGAGCGAGACGGAGGCTCTAGAATGAGTCCCCAGAGGACAGCGAGTAATGACCTCAGTGAAGAGCGGCGCATGTGGCCGCTCAGACAGGCACATGTTTCTTAATGCCAAAGAACAGACATCAGCCCGAGGACAAAGGGGTGCAGGGATGCGGACAGACTCAGGAGAAGGACAGGAAGCGTTTCAGAGCTGTGTCAGGACAGCTAAAACTGAGCCTTGCGAAAACCAATGTTTTTGTCTGATTATATCTGGCTTTACTGGTATTGTCTGTGTACTCATTTCCTCTTGTTGTTATAGCAAAGCTAGAGACTCGCCACAACAGAGTCCTACAAGCTTGCAGGTCCGGAGCCTAACTTGCATCTCACTTGGCTAAAAGCCGCGGCCTCGGCAGGGCTGGTTCCTCTGCAGGCTCCAGGGCAGATGCTGTCTCTTGGCCCAGCTTTTCTTGAGGCTGTGCGCATTCCTTGGCCAGTGGCCTCTTCCCTATCTTCAAGGCCAGGACCATGGGCAAGGTCTCTTTCAGGCCACCCTCCGAGGACTCCCTTTTCCACTTTTTTTTTTATTTTTTTATTTATTTATTTTTTTAATTTTATTTAAGGAGAAAAGAAAAAAAAAAGCAGGGAAAGGGTACAAGTTATACAGATTTACAGAAAAAAAATGAACAGTAGGAAATCACTAGTTAATGGATTACATATTGTCATCTTAGAAATAATTGTTCAAGTCACAAAATTAAAGCTTGTAAAGTGGACATTCCATCAATGATACTGCAAACAGTTCTGTTCATTGATCCAATAAAACTCTGTGATATCATTTTCTATCTTATACACTTAAATATACATGCAGTTATATAGTTTGGAGCACTTTCTTTTCCTCTCTTTTGTACCATGACTATTACACATTTTGGGTTTCATTGCTCCCACGGTTCTTATTACTTTTTTGGAAGAGAGTAAAATCAAATGTGACATAACAGAACAGAATCGGTCAAGTCAAAAGGGTGGACATAATAGATAATGTAAAAACATAATACAAGGTGATCAACAATGGTTACCATAATGCCTCCTGCTATCTCTAATAGAATTGCCTATATCATTAGTTATAATACAATTGAACAAAACAGTAAAGAATAAAACCGACAAAACCAAAACATTGGAGACATTGTAGGTCTTCAAAAGTAGATAAAAGTCAACAAGAATGGGCGTCATAATGAATCTCATTATCTTCACAGCTGATGCCTAAACTTTCGAACCTGATACTATCCAGCAAAACAGAATAGGGGAACATCAGTTAAAAACCAGATGGTAAGAGTAATACAGGGCTTTAAATCAAGGTAATGAAAAGTCAAAGTGGGTTACTATAATATATCCTGCTATTTTTTTTCCTTTAATTAAAAGGATAAAGATAAAAAAGTAAATAATGGAGTGGAGATTGAGATAAAAGAGGGCATAACAACGAAACAGCGCAGATCAAAACATAACCATTTAAGCAGAATAGTGTTTCACCACCAGATAATCCTAACCTAAAAGTAGTTACCATATTGTTTCTTTCTTTGAAATCCTTGAGTACAACTTCGTATACTGTAGCATTAAGTATATCAAAACAATGTAAGACCATTCAAGAGAATGACAGCATTACATAGTATTTAGAATTGACTAACAAAATGAACAATGGTTTCTGTATAATCTCCTTGTCTTTAAAAGGTTTTTGCTTATACTATCGTACATAATAAAATCCAATAAGATACAGCCTATTTAGACCATTGGAGACAGAAGGACAAAAGCTAGATGAGACTTCAAAACAAGATGATACTAAATCTGTATTACCTATTAAGATGTCATTTTCTCCAAAATAGCTGTTCCTATCATCCAATCTTCTCTGCCTCATTTCTGTTAAGCTCTTTTTCTGTCCGTAGAGGTCAGTTTGTCTTCTTCATTTTGTTCTCTGCTCCATTCGTTGTGGCCTCTCTGCCATTATTTCTGGATTCTTTGTATTTTTCTTTTTTTAGAATATCCTGCAATACTCTCTGTAGAGTTGAATTGGTGGTTGCAAATTCCCCCAGTTCCTCTTTATCCTGGAAGCACCTTGTTTTTCCATCAATTTCCAGGGACAGTTGTGCAGGATATCTCAATCTTGGCTGGAGATTATTATCTTTCAAAGCTTGAATTATTTCCCCCCACGCTCTTCGTGATTTGATGGTTTGTGCAGAGAAATCTGCTGTAATTCTGATGGGTGTTCCCTTGTAAGTGGTCTGTTTCTTGTCTCTGACAGCTTTTAATATTCTGTTCTTGTATTGAATTTCTGGAATTTTTATTATTATATGCCTGGGTGTTGCTCTGTTTGGGTTGTAGGTAGCTGGGGTCCTGTATGCCTCATACATCTGAGTATCTTTACCTTTTGCTAAATTAGGAAAATTCTCCTGGATTATTTCTGTGAGTAGCTTTTGTAGTTCACTTGTTTGTGTCCCTACTTCTTCTTTTATGTTCTTAATCCTTAAGTTATGGATCCTCTTATCATCTTCTTGTCTTTGTATTATTGCTGTTTGTTTCTTTGTTATTTTTAAGAAGTTTTTCATTTCATTCTCCCATATTACAAGTCTGCCCTCCAGTTCAGATAGTCTGTCCTTAGTTTCTTTCAAGCTGTTATGCCAGTCTTCTATAGACTTCTTAGTATCTTGGTAGTCCCTTTGAACCTGCTTCACGTATTCTATGCTTTCTCTGTTTTCTCCATCAAACAATTCTCCCCTTTTTTTCTGTTCTTCCATTCCACCACCTGTTTTTTCTTGGGTGGTACTTAGCATTTCTCTAACTATTCTGCATACTTCTAGCTTCAGGTCATTGATAACTTCATTCCTGAATTGGTCTATGAGGCTCTCTATATGGTGCCTTATGTGTATTGGTGTGGTGTCTGCTATTGCCTGTTTCTCAGAATTG